CAAACCTTGGGGGAAAAAAAATGATTCTCCAACAGTTGAAGTAATTAGTAGCGAAGAAAGAAAGAGATCCATCTAAGAAGAAGATACGGGTGTGATAGTCATGCCTACTAGAACCCACACTTTCTAGGACAGTCAAGCTTTAAGAGCGCTATTCGGTTAGCTTTAATACCCCAGATTCCAACATTTTCACGTCCTAGAAATTCTGTCGGTTAGTGAACACTAATCTTTGGTTCTAAAAATACGGTCATGTAAGAGGAGATGGAGCAAGTGAAACTACTCTCCCTCTAAAGGCCAAAGCTGTAGGCCATGGCTGTCAGACCTCTCTTTGTAAGCTGGGGAACCCATTCTTCAGTGAAATGTCTGAGGATGCCCAATGTAAAAGACATAAAAGAGATAATAAAGAGCTCATCTAGTTGAATAGGGCAGTGGATCTTGAGCCTAACTCAACCCGGGGGCCCAAGACCCTCCCCCAGGCCAGTGGCATCAATGTGCAGATGAGGGTACTGGCAGGGACCCTCAGAGTTCTGGGATCCCCGGGTGCACTGCATGCTTTCTGCAGACTCAACATGTTAAGTTTCTTCTGGACACTTAGGGGTGCATCCAAAGTCTGTTACAGTCATGATTAATGAAGTAGAAATTTAGAAGCATTACTGAATTTTGAGTGATTGTCATTAAGATCTCCTCAATTAACCGTGGGCAGTGTGGGAGAAATCAACTTGACAAGGTATCAGAGACCCTGGGAAGCCCTGTTCTGAAGCCCTGGTCCACAGACGCGACGTCACAGAGGCGGGGAGTGAGGCCGTGGCTGGACCGTGGCAGCTGGACCCAGCTGCGGTGCTGATGGCACCACGCGCCCACCCTGCGATTCCAGCACGGCTCTCGCACACTCACTTACACATTCTTTCATGTGCGTTCTTTCTAGGGCGTCCCAGATCTGGTCTTCAGTGTACTGGTTGAAGGGATCCAAATTTGACCTAAGGAGAGACACAGTAAGAAATTCTCAGTGGTTCAGCATTTAAACGACCACACTGCAGGGGCCGGCTGTGGTAAAAGTTGACCAGCACAGGAAGAGGAGGACTCAAAACCTGAAGGTCGGGGAGGGCTCATTCCTCAACCGGCCCTGGAGGGGAGCCCTGAAAACAGACTGGGCTCCTTTTTCTTCATTATGAAACTTGTTTTCTCTTAACTTTTATTATTTTTAGAATGTAAATAAACACAGGTTAGCCACAGAAAGATTTAAAAATACAGATATGCAAAGCAAAACCACCAGTACATGTTTTAAACACATCTAATGACGCATCTCGAAACCAACACTGTCATATCAAAGATGACACCACTGGGCTTGCCCCAACCCCGGGAGACCTGAGTCTGTCCTTGGCAGGCCCCCTCTCGTGAGTCCACCCTTGAGCCCTGGGAGTAACTTTGGAACTTCTGGTATACCAGCCTGTGCGCTGCACACTGTACAGCATGCACCTTGACCCTCCTTAGCCTGCTCCCGCCTCATCAAGAGCCGAACGAGTGGCAGAGGAGCCGAGCACCTCAAGTTACCCCTAACTGCTCTGACCTGGGAGACACGGCCCACCAGGACACACGGGGGGATGGAGGGTGAGATGTCCTCTTCCAACACTACAGCATCTACTCCAATAAATAGGAAAAGGGAATACTGCATCAGATGACCAAAAACAACAGATCTCAAAGAAACGTGAGCAAACAAGGGGGTAATTCTCCCCCAGGTGAGCACAGTAGCCCCTCACCAACAGTGGATGGCAGAGAGAAATACACGGAAATGTCAAAAAACTCAGTCAGATGCAGGAGAAAACAGACAGTTCCAGGAAATGAAAAAATCATTTCAGGACATGAAAGAAGAATTTCATAAAGAAACAGAAACCCTAAGAAAGAATCAAACAGAAATTCTGGAAATGAGGAATACAATATAAGAAACTGAAATCTCTCTAGAAAGGATTAACAGCAGATTGGATCATACAGAAGAGCGAATGCACACACCCTATAGCAAAAAAACAAACAAAAACAAACAAACAAACAAACAAAAAAAAAAAAAAAACCCAACAAAACAAACAAACAAACAAACAAACACAAAACCCCCCCCAAAAAATTGAGGCCAATATATGGGAAATTCTAAACACAATGAAACACCCACATATCCATATAATGGGTATTTCAGAGGGTGAAGAATCTGCTAAAGGCATAGAAAATCTTTCATGAAATACTCTCTGGAAATTTTCCAAATATAGAGAAATATGGAGAAATTCAGACCTGAGAAATAAAAAGGACCCCAAAGAGAATCAACACAAAAAGATCCTCCCCCTAACACATCATGGCCAGATTGGTCAAAATTAAAAGGCAAGAGACAATATTCTAAAAATGGCAAGAGAGAAATGTCGAATTACTTATAAAGGTTATCCCGTCAGGCTAATGTCAGACCTTTCAGCTGAAAGAGCGCAGGCAAGGAAAGAATGGAAGATGTATTCAAAACATGAAAAGAACAACACTTTCAGGACCAGCAGATGGCACAGGGGTTACATTGCTGGACGCTCACGTGGCTGACTACATTCAAGTCCCGGAACTGGAGGTGTGAAATTCACAACGGGCGCATGTGTGTAAGTGCCCAAAATCCCAAGAGGAGAACAGAAGAGAAGGGATTGTGGCATGGTCATCTCCCAGGGGGTGATTTCTCACCTTCTGTCTGTCTCTCCCGCGTATGCACGTGTCCTATAACAAAACCTTCTTTTATAAAAGGAAAAATAATTTCAACCAAGAATACTATAGCTAGCAAGATTGTTCTTCAAGTGGGGAAAACAAATGAAAGTATTCTCAGATAAACAAAAACTGAATCACCAATACTAGACCAGCTCTACAGGAAATACCAAGGGGAGTACTGTATCAGGATAACTAAAGAGAGACAAACAGAAATGAAAGAACAAAAACAACTGAGAAAATGGCTAACAAAATGACAGGGTAAGTCTGCAAATATCATAGTAACACCGAATGTAAAGTGGATTAAATTGTCCCATTAAAAAGGAGAGGCAGTAGTCCCAAAAGCCCAGGCAATAGTCCCACAAATAGACAAATGCGACCATATTAGCCCGAGCAGCTTATGCACAGTGAAAGAAACAATAAGAGAAGGAAACCCTCAGAATGGGAGAATATATTTGCAAACTATACGTCAGATAAGGGATAGATAATCAGAAAATACAGGAAACTCAAGCAGCTTACCCACAAAAAAATAATCAATTCAATTAAAAGATGGGAAAATGAGCTGAACAGAGAATTCTTCAAAGACCTATGAATGGCTAGAAAGCATATGAAAACATGTTCAAGGGAAATGGCTAGAAAGCATATGAAAACATGTTCAAAGGAACCAGTAGTTGGCGTAACGCCTATGTCGCTGGACTCCCATGTAGTCGACCGTGGTTCGCGTCCCGGACCCGGTGGCTTAAAATTCACGCCAGGCACTTGTTCGTGCGTGCCCAAGATCCCGAGAGGAGAATGGAGGAGAAGGGATTGCGGTGTGACCATCCCCCCTGGGGGGGTGATTTCTCGCTTTCTGTCTCTCTCTGTCTGTCTGGCGAGTGCACGCACCCTATAGTGAAAACCTCTCCCCCAAAAAAAAAAAAAAAAACATGTTCGACATTTCTTATCATAAGGGAAACGCACATCAAAACCACCAAAACCCTAGTCAGAATGGCTAAAGTTAAAAAAATAATAATGATAAGTGCTGGTGAGGCTGCGGTGAAAAGGGAACTCTCCTACACTTGGTGGGAATACAAATTAGTACAGTTTGGAGAACGAAATGGAGATTCCTCAAAAACCTACAAATAGAACTACCATATGACCCAGCAATTCCACTCTTAGGTATTTATCCAAAGAGAGAAAATCCTTCAGTTGGATAAACACTTGGACATCTATGTTTACTACAGCATTATTTATAATTGCTAGGACATGGCATCAATGTCCAAAATAGATGACTGGATTGAAAAAATGTGGCATATATACTCTATGGAATACTACTCAGCCATAAACTCAATGAGACCCTGATAATGAATATGGAAGACTTAATGCTAAGCAAAGCAAGCTAGACCATGAAAGACAGACTGTATGTCTCCACTCAATATATAGTAAATGTCTGCACTCTATAGCAGAAACCAAAAGTTTGGAAGGTATAGTAGCAGGGAGAGCAACTGCAGATACTAGAGATAATAAGGATATGGGTAATATGTGGATGAGTAATACAAGGGGGGAGGGATGGAGGGAGGGAAACAGGAAAAAGAATGCATTTAATTGACTAAAAAAAGAGAAAAACTATTTGCTGATAATACTTTACATAGTAATGTCTTTGTCTTGATTGATATGCATGGAATTAGTGCTGGGAAAAGCCACACTGTAAAGATATATGTGATTGGGACCAGCAGGTGGCATGGTGGCTAAGGTACTGGACACTCCCACATGGCCGACTATGGTTCGAGTCCTGGACCTGGTGGCTTGCTTTCTCAGTGTCCCCCCACTCTGTCTTTCTCTGCTCAAATTAAGAATAAATGAATGAATAAAATTAAATAAAAATTATAAAACCCAGTATCTTAATCTCTAAAAAAATAATAATAGTATCGAAAGATGACTAGACATTTCTAGGAATGTTAAAGACAGGAGGAAAATACCTTAGAGCAGGAGGGTAGAGAAATGGTGGTGGAACAGATATGCAGTGAGTGGATAGCTGGAATATGACAGTAATTTGGGGTGTCTCTGGACTCAAACATACATGTGTAGGTCTAGTCATCTGAAAAGTGTTAGGTATCATTTACTTTGCTCATAAAATTATGCTTGGCATACGGGACCTAGAAAATCTTGGAGAAACATGAACGTTAGCTCTATGCCCCATCTGTTTCTGTCTGAATTACTAATTATGGGCATGCCGATATTAGTAGGTCACTACTGCAGGACTGTCCCACAGAGGAGGGAAAGACTCATTCATGCCACCCGGCCTCTCCTGGGGGACTTGAACCAGCCCTGCTCTCCTGTGCCTTTGGCCCTTGGTACATGTGATTTCCCCGATTAAAACATGCTCACCTCTCCCCACCCCTTTGTTAAGAGACTGGTACAGAGCCAGGGCCTGGAGCCAGGCTGCCTGGACTCGGACGCGGGCTGTCAACCGCAGGCTGTGCCCTTCCTTGCCCGTTACCCTGGCCATTCAAGGCTTCAGTCTCCTGTGAGACAGGGTTAGAGGGCCTGCCCTGGAAGGTTGTGGAGGACATCTGACCTGCACGACGACTCACAGCAGCTCCTGGCACAGGTCAGCACTGTGTACGAGGGGACTTGGAAACGTGTGAAAAATGGAATTAAAATAAGAGTTTATTTTGATATGAAACAACTGTTTTGAAATCCAGGCAGGTTTTCTTTTTTTTTTTTTAAATAGTGTGCATTTCCTAAGATTCCTCACATTATTATTTTAAAATTTCTTTCATGGGAGAAACAGGGAGAAAACAAGCACCCCACAGGGTGTCTCACTGTGACCCCCAGCCTCTTCTGGCCGTCAGACGTACGGGTGCAGCACATGCTGGCCGGGGAAGGGAGTCCACGACCTTCCGTACGGACCCTGCTTCGCCGGTCAGCACTGCCCTTCCGGTCTCGACTTCAGAAGCCCCTCACCCTTCCAGCGTAGACCAGGGGTCCCTGCGCCACCCTCGTTAGGGCACTCACCTCTCTGCACCTTGTCCTCCCTCACCCCCACCAGGTCAGGATCCTGTATGGATCCTATTCACTGCCATATCCCACGCACCAGCACGCCGGTTAGTGCTTTCGGCATGAATGAGAGAACATATTCCTCCATCCTGTCCGTCCTGTTGGTGAGAATTCGTCCTGTCACAGCTTGCACACTCGGCAATAGCAGACCAAGGGGCGGCGTGGTGGGGGAGCACGTGCTTACTCAGCATCTTACTAGACAGCCTGGGTCTAGGCCATC